TTTGGGGGACATTAGAATGAGGACCATTTTACCCATATTCACTCGGTCATCTCTGCTTAGAAAGGTATACTAGTGTCCAGCTCTTTTTTTTTTTTTTTGTCCAAAAAGAAAAATTATATTCTCTTGGTAACAGTGGCGTTTTGAGTTGGAAGGGCAGTGGGCTCCAGGGTTCTCAAGCTGGGAAATAGTCGTAGCATATGACAGTTGGATGTCACAAAGCCCTAGTTAATTTTCACACAGTAGACTTTGTCAACCCCCTTAGCTGACCTCAGGAATTAAGGTAGTGACTAAACTGGGAGAAACTGTGAAGCCAGGCACGAGGTCCCTGTTGCCACACCACTTAAAAATAAGTAAATAGTGCTCGATTTCTCAAAGGCTTGTTGGGTAAGAATGATTGCTGTAATTTAGACTTACAGGGTGGGAAGGTCAAATGGTTAATTTTATGAGCAGTAGAGTATTTCTTTCATTTTTAAAAAAGATTTTTTTATTTTTACTTAGAAGAACTGTGTGGAGGCCGGAGGTGCGGGGCAGGTGGTGAGAAGATTCACGAGACAGAGTAGGAGGTTAACAGCAGATGCATTGAAATACACTGCAAAGGGGAGCAGGGGGAGAGACAGTGGGTCATCTCCCTGGCCAGGGATCAGACTCAGGCTGCCCTGGGCCCTTGCAGTGATAATGCTAAGACTTAACCCTTAGGCCACCAGGAAGGGCCGGCATTTCTTTAAATTTCCCCTAAATTATTTCCTTGCTAAACAAGAGGATTTTTTTCCCCATCCTTTAAGTAGGGACTTGTATTGTGGTGCCTTATATTAGCATCCTCATTACTCAAAAGAGTACACAATTGAAGACCCCTGGAAAAATGGGAGCCAATTCATGGTGACCGCATCAGGTTTCCTTGAGAAATGCCTTAAACTAGACTCCAGTCACAGGTCCTCAAAGTGCCTTCTGCTGCCATTAATTGTCAGGTAGTATTTAAAACAAAAATTCTGTTTAATTTCAGCAGACAATAAAAGTCATAAGATAATGCATTACTAAGCAAAATAAGAGTGTGTTTTAACGATATCTGAGAGTAGTTGAAAGACAGCTGACTTTACATGATTATCGAGAAGAATATGATCACCATAGAGTAAGTCAGTCCATTCTTGCCAAATTCTCTAGTGCCACTCCAGTAGAGTAGTATGCCACTTTGCCAGTAAGGGCGGGGTTCAGGGTCTCATACATTCTGAATCTGGAAAGATACCTTAAGAGGGCAGCAGGTCTAGACCCCATGATGCCTAACCCCACCTGCATTCCTGATAACTGACTGTCACCCAAATTATCAATGTCCAGTGAAGAAGAGTTTATTACTATGGCAATTTTTTTCTTTTCCTTAACTTTTGGATCTTTTCATTTGCATCGTCCCTCCTTGTGTATGATTCTGTTTCTGAGAGTGCCATACCTTGATGATTTCTTAAGAGCTAGTTGTACTCACCTCCTTGTTTTCCACAGGTGTCCAAGGACGATCGAAGCGATATTGAGTCCAGCTCAGATGAGGAGGATTCGGAACCTCCAGGAAAGAACCCCCACACTGCAACCACCACCAATGGGACCAGTGGTACCAATGGGTATCTCCTGACTGGCTCGTGCTCTGTGGATGATTAATTACTCAAAACTACATGTCCTGAACAAAGTGAACTGTTTGTTCCTGGAAGTATTTAATAAGTCGCAAATGCGGTTCCTTTCATAATTTCTCGGCACCAGAAACAAAAATTAGGATTATCAAAGCATTTTGAATAGTGCACTGCCATGTGTCCTATCTGAATGAAGAAGAATTACCATTCTCTATATGTAGGCATGCTGTATGTAACTGACACAAGGGAACAGTATTTGCGTTTGTACTGTCTTACCATATTATTTATTTTTTTTTGTATTTGTTTGTAAATCTGTGGGCAAAAGAGGGTTTCCCCCTTTACTCTCTGGGTTCATATCAGTAAGGGAGATGCTCCATCTACTTCAACCCCTTTCTATTCAGTAACCCAGTCTGCTAGGAGCATCAGCTTAATTTGTCACTCAGTGCAAGCAAGCCCAGTGCAGGATATTCATACAGCTCCAAATAGGTTTGCTGTCTTTTGTTACGGTGCCCATTTTGAAATTGCCTACTCAGCTTCAGTGGCCCTCCTCCCCAGATAACGTTTAAGCAGGATAAGCTAGGTTTTCTGTTTTTTTTTTTTTTTAATTGTCACTCTTCATGGTCAATTAGCAGTTCAAATTACAGAATATGGTTACTGGATGCCTGGTAGGGAATCTTCGTATT